CTAGAGGACTATAGGTCCAACACACATGCATTAGCACACATGCACTGACACACATGCACTAGCACACATGCACTGGTAGATAGGTACCGTCTAGATGACTATAGGTCCAAGACAGATGCACTAACACACATGCACTGGTAGATAGGTACTCAGCCGTCGGTCGTTTGTTCCCACAGGCGACTATGGCCTTTCTGCTCAAGTACGACAAGGACAACGACGGCGTGATTGAGAATGAGAACTTTGCGGATCAGACATACGATGTGTGGCTGGTGGATGGCGTCAGTGCGTACTGCGGGGGTCTGTGGGTTGGTGCTACGACTGTAATGGCTGAAGGTGTGTGTGCGGCGCGGTGGTGTATGGGCGGACGAGAGGGATAGTACGGTTCAGAGATAGGATATAAGTATGTACACGCATGCTGGAGTAAGGAGGTTGTGTATATAAATAGAGGTGTGTGTGTACGGTTCAGAGTTAGGATATAAGTAGGTACACGCGTGTTGGGGTAAGGAGGTTGTGTATACAAATAGAGGTGTGTGTGGTGCTGATAGTACAGAGGTGTGTGTGGTGCTGACGGTGCAGAGGTGTGTGAGAAAGAATTTGGATGTTTCAGAATAGGGTTTGAAACGGCGGTAGGGTTTGTAGAAATGGGATGACTCAACTAGTGTCGCGTTATCGCTTGTGCTGCGGTTCGGTGGATCACTGGTGGGCACGAGTTGATTGTATTCTACTGTTGGCACTAATACCACACCTTCTGTATACGGTGATAGTGAACTTAACTTCCCCCATTAGTTTGTGTAGACTTATTAGTTGGTTGTATGCATTATAGTGAAACTAACTTCCCACCTAAAGTTTGCATAGACGTACTGCTCACACCTATCCGCTGCACTGTGTACCTAATCCACGTCAGCCGCCAAGGTGCTGTCGAGCAACGGGCGCACTCTCGCCACTGCAGAGGATGTCACAAAGTGGTCGGACATGGCAGCCAAAGGGAAAGCAGTGTACGACAAGAAACTCTGGAACGGTACGTGTATCCGGTTATGAAGAGAGAAGACACGTATGAACTGAACGATCTGAGTATTGTGTATAACAATAGAAACGTCACTATTTGCACACGTGTGTTGATTGAGGTGTTTCGTTGTGAATGTCACACATGCACACGTGTGTTGATTGAGGTATGTATTCCGCTGTGAACGTCACACATGCACACGTGTGTTGATTGAGGCATGTATTGGGTTGTGAATGTCACACATGCACACGTGTGTTGATTGAGGTATGTATTGCGTTGTGAACGTCACACATACACACGTGTGTTGATTGAGGTACGTATTCCGTTATGAACGTCACAAATGCACACGTGTGTTGATTGAGGTATGTATTCCGTTATGAACGTAGCACATATACACGTGTGTTGATTGAGGTATGTATTCCGTTATGAACGTCACACATACACACGTGTGTTGATTGAGGTATGTTTTCCGTTATGAACGTCACACATACACACGTGTGTTGATTGAGGTATGTACTCCGTTATGAACGTCACACATGCACACGTGTGTTGATTGAGGTGGCTGTGCGTGAAGGATGATAGGGTCGGCTGGTTGGGACTTGTAAATTGAATGGTACATACAGTTTTAGAGACGTAGTTGTTATAGGACAATCCCAGATTACACATACAGGTGATCTATGCTTGTATTTTTCTCGCTTGTACACATACAAACTAGGTGAATACAAGGGGAGGATAGCAATCAATATGCTCAGTCTTTGAATGAGAAACCGTTCTGTACTAGGCACACAGCAGCGGTTAGATCAAACCACCGGAAAACGAGTAGTAGCAGCAATTTGGGTTTGCACATACCTGAATACATGTGTATGTAGGTTTACTATTTTCATACTTACACTCGAATGATACATTCTTCTTACCACATACTTGAATATACAAATATATATAGTTCTACTACCTTCATACTTACACTCAAATGACTCATTCTTCTTACCCTGCATGCACCTCTCCAGGCAAGTACTACAACTACGACGAGAGCAACAGCGCCCACAACGACAGCATCCAATCGGACCAGTGTGCGGCCCATTTCTACCTACAGGCGAGCGGTGTACCCAGCTTCTGTGAGTCAGAAAAGGTGCAATCGGCCCTAAAAACGGTGTTCTCACACAACGTTATGCAAACGGCCGGAGGGTGAGTTGTCTGCGGTCGAAGAGAGTGTGGTTGATTATTCGTGGGCCGCTTGTACGTTTGGTCAACATACTCGGTTGCACTATATATTAGCCCTATATATAGCCCCTTTTATACTGCTAATATTGGTGGCGAACGTTCTGGCGTGTTTCTACATCAAATACTGGGTCATTTGCGTCACGGTAGTCGTTATCATGCAGACCTTTACTTCTGCGCGTGCAGTGACTTGTGGTTCAGGTGTGTGTGCGGCGTATTGATACATGGCAGCACTAAGACAACACCCATCCTGCTTCATCCCGGTAGAGGCCCACGCCATGGCCTATTTTGAATCCGATATGCAGGCACTAACAACCCACTCTCTACTATACTTCAAATTTGTTCCTCTGCTGTGCAGCACCATGGGGGCAATCAACGGCTGTAGACCGAACGGTAGCCCTGACTATGCGAGTATGCAGTCGGTGGAGATCTGGACGGGTGTGACGTACCAGGTGGCCGCAGGGATGATTCAAGAGGTAGGTAGACGGTGTATACAAATATGG